TGGGCAGAGGGTCCAGGCTCTATGGAAACAAAATATGTGGAAAACAATTAAAATCACTCAAAGCACACAAAGTGTTTTACCAAACTCATATCTAAAAACAAACATATTTAATTTAATCAAATGTTAGTTCTTAGTAAAAAACAAACAAACAAACAAACAAACAAACAAACAAAAAACAACAGAACATGCCGGTTTCAGGGAGGAGTAACACCAGAAATAAAAACAAATGTCACATGGCAACACAAGCAATACACATAATAGCCCTCATATTAATGTTTTTAGGGCAACACTTCATTTGACACGGTGTGCATAAGAGTGACATGACACCTTGCATGAACATAAATTTTCCTACATGTAAGAGAAAGCTGCATGGAGAATAATAGCTGGGAACAATGGCTAAAACTTAGAATATGCTTCACAGCACAGAATAGAAAACTTACACAAGTGTGTTTTTTCCTAACATGTCCATGTGTCATTGTAATAAATACTGTAAACAATATTATTTCAAGTGTAATAACCAATATGCTACAATATGTTGGCTGCAGTAGGAACAGCTCGCTGTTCTGTTTCCAATAGAAGCATTATACATGGTTAATAATGCAATGGGGAGTAATGGAGAATATGATTAAAGGGTATAGGGCAACAAAAACAATAAGTCAGGAAATCACTTTTACATGTCAATGATAAATGCATCTTTTTAGTGAAATATTTCCCAGAAATATTTCCTGTGTTCAAACAGTGTTGTAGGTATGAGTATAATCTGCTTTTATGGCTTCAGCAACACTACAGACACACCAGCATCATTACAGATTGGAGTCAAACCGTGAACGGTCCCTTATTCTTGTGTTTAACATGAATTCGTTTAGATTAAACAGTTCCTAGCTTGAATTAATAGCACCACGCTATAAAAGAGCGGCATGCTGAGCCCAGTTAGAGCCTTGCTGGGTGAACTGTGTTGGGCCTTTGCTTCCAGCCCAGAATCCGCTCTGACAGATAACTCCCACTAAATGCTCAGAGAGATCAAAGTCCTAGCTAACACAATCCCCGCGGACTCCTCCTTACCCTGGCATGGACGGTGCCCATGCTGAGCTCCGCTGGGCGCTGTCCCGAAAACTACTGGAGAAACTTTGAGTGGAAAATGACAAACTACTTTAACCTACAAGTAACCGAGAAGAAGCGAGGAGCCTCCGAATAAGGAGGCGGCCATGTCACTTCCTGGACACGCCCCTTCCGGGGAGCGTTCAATAGCGCAACGCTGAAACGGGTTGCTTTCGCTGGACTGTGCATTCCTTTATTCAAACAAATACATTATAAAGTGTAATACCAGTAAAATATACATTTTACTGTGTTTAACAGGGCCTGCTAGTTTTGAATGATACCTAAGCATGAGTGCTTTATATTTGGCATTCAAGATTATGTTTTTAAAATGATGCAACATTTTAACAATAATTCAAACCCAAAGACATGGAAGCCTATTTTCGGCTGCTTGCAGGTGTGGGAACATTTATTCAGTTAGATTTACTTGACTAAAAACTACTTTTAGAATTTTTTATTTTTATTTTTACTTTTATTTTAGCAATATTAATGTGAGGTATCACTTTTCTTACTTGAGTAAAATTTCAGGATACTCTTCCCACCTTGAGTGATTTTACTGAATGAAGATTATTTTATTTATTATAATTTATTATTATTATTATTATTATTATTATTATTATTATTATTATTATTATTATTATTAAGTAAGATGATATGATCAGTTACTCAATACTTACATCCCGTTGTTACCAAATACTTTTTTCCTCACTTGAGTCATTTTTTGGACGGCTTCTTTTCACTTTTGCTTGTTGGAAGTAATGCTATAATGCTACTCTTAACTACAGAGCAATTTTTGTATACTCATACACACCTCATAATTAAAATGTAATTATGACACTTCATCCCATAATATAATTACAAGATAGGTAATACTGAGAAAGCAGAGTAATAATTCCTTAAATATTGTCTTATATTAATGAGGTCCCTGTTCTTTGTGTGCTGTAAATCGGTAAAAATAAAAACTAGCAGCCATAAAATAAAATATGGCTAATATAAAAACATGGTTATTGTGTGAAAAATACATTAAATTAAGTAAAAGTTGAGGCCTAGTTGAGAGACTATTTGACAAGAGTGCATGCTAATATATTTATTAAAATGTACAATATAAAAGAAAATACAAATTGAATCAGAATGAGCTCAATTCATCAGGGAATTTCTGCATTTTCCACAGACCTATCAACGTCACGTTTTCTACCTGAAGCAAACAAATAATATCTCTACAACCATATATAACATGAAATAAAATAACAGCTGTTGCAGAGGAAGGAGAAAAAAAACTTTCACAATTTTGCATATGTTGCTGAGTCTCTCATCAGAACTTCCATCCTAAAAAAAAAAAAAAAAAAAAAAAGATGAACTCGCTGAACAATTCATAACAAAACATACTATGACATACATAACAGACTCAGCAAGCTGCACTTACGCTTCGGTTTGAAAACTTTTGTGGGATATTTTGTCTTCTGCTCTACCCTCAGGGTTTTCATTGATGTCTTTTATGCCGAGCATGGTCAGAGCTGCGGGGAGAAATAGCTTTGTAAATAGCAGCCCGAGTTTTGGATGATATTCACATTGAAACACTGTACATTACAGTATTGACAGAAATAACATTGCCTTTGCAAAAATGTGATTAATACATCAAAAGTGGCCTTGTTGAGATCAACAATATGACCTGTACATATAAATTGTGGTATATGTTCCCAAGCTTTTCTGTGCCGCCGTCCTGCAAACAGTATTAGTTTAGTGAAGAAACCCCCTTCACTAAACCCCACAGGCAATGCTACAAAATGTGTACAGAAACGTCAGCTTTTAGAATGTTCTTTTAACTTACTTTTATTCACTGATTAATAATTATTACATTCTTTTAGAACAGAGGCAGCCTTACACTTTCCAATTCTAGTTTTCCATGAGTTCTTAGCTGGGCTCCTGGTCGGCTCCTTCTGTCTTTTTCTTGTCAGAAACTTGTCCATTTTGCGCTTGCTAGCACAGCTGTGCTAGCTTGAGGAGCAAAGCAACTCCTCAAGCTGTCAGAAAGATGGCTGCCAGTCAAGTTAAATTATTTTAACTTATAAGTTATAATAATGATTATAGATTTTATGATAAAAAAAATTAGGCAATTTTTTTATTTTTCTAATTTCTCTCCAATATTTTGAGGCCCCCTCTACTACTCCCTGGTGACCACCCCTGTAACACTGGAGTTATAGAAGTGTTTAGATCTTATTATAATTTTAAAACAAAGATTATTCTTTCACAGCTTCAAGCAAGTGTTTGTAGTTTTAAGAACCTTAAAAAAAGTTTGTAATAGGTAAGCTACAGTTTTAAGACTTCCTAAAAGTGACCAGCAGCACCACTCACCCTGCTTGTACTGTGCAAAACTGATATACTTCTGGTTAGCGGGATCCATTATCCCGCAGATGGCAGTCAGGTTGGAGTTGTCAAACAGATTTGGCCCTCTCATTCCACTTTCCCGGGAAACCTTCAGCAGCTCCAGCTGCTCAATGAGAAACTCTTTGGGGTTCTCTGAATGACACAGTCACCGAACACATCAACGACAAAGGCAAAAACTTAGACACACATGAAAAAGAAATAATGAAAATGAGTAATTTAAGAAAATGAAATGTAAAAAGAGCAAGATCAAAACTATCAAGATATTCAGACTAAATATTTTAACTACAGTGACAACAAAGCAATTTTTGACTTTAAATTATTTGTAGGGACTGTTGTTTTTACAGGGTGAAAACAGTGGACCAACAGTAATATTTTTCTTACACCCATGCCACTTATTTTTGGGGTAAATACTTCCAACAGATCCACCTTGACCTTACATATTTTTTGTTTCCACCAACAAACATCTGGAATATGCTGGATGTTTGATAGGCTCATGTGTCTTGGTGTAAAAATAGGATCAGTTTTGTTCTTCCTTTGTGTTATTTTTTATTCCAAACTTGCAGGACGATTTTTTTAATGGTTGTTGGATCTTAGATCAAAACAAAGCTTGCCATAACTTTTAGAAATCTGAATTAGACTAAATTCTGCTTTATAAACGTGCTTAGAAAATCCACACTGCATTTATCTTTATGCACTGTGTAAATACTCACTTAGCCCTGATGACAAGGCAAAGATAACTGACAGAAACTTCTCTTTTAGAGTTTAAAGACTTAGTTTCTGAACTTAATTCAGTGCGAGTTTAAAAGACAAATAAGCTCAACGAACATCTCTACAAAGCACATTTTTAAAAAGTGAATAGCTAATTAACATTAAAACAATTGATTGGTGTCAGAATTCAGTGACGATGACGTTAAGTGTAATTTAAACAAACCGTAAATCAGCAGCTGTGAAAAAGAAATCGTGCTAATGAAGCTCACGAGAGACGGATATTCCACGTTTGAGGAAGAAATAAACTCTAACCGGGTCTGTAAAACAGGAGCATGCTGGTCATGTTGTCCATGAGCTCAAAAATCTTGTGTTTCTTGAGATATTCTTTCGCGTCTCTCTCTCTCTGGGTCGACATTTTTCCTCTTTTCTGTTGAATAGGGTTGCTATGATACCACAGGCCAGACGCGCGCGCACGGAAACTGTAAAACCCACTGCGCGTTAACCCCGACTCCGTTAACAAGAAAGAAAGGAGGCAGGTCTGTAAATATATATCAATGTTTTTCTGCTTCTTTTCTAACTAAAAATATACATTTTATTTACAATAACACCATGCTTCGAATTCATGTCTTAGAGGCTTAAAAAGACGACGTTCGTCTTTCACAAAAAAAGTTAAAAATGCTCAAATAATGTATATGTCGCTTTACAGCTTCACCATAGCGCAATTTTATATATATATATATATATATATATATATATATATATATATATGAAAATGGATTAGAATTTCTGAGATTGATAAGATACTGCCAGCATTCCAGTTTAACACTTTTATTATTTATATATTTCACCTGTAGCTGGAAACCATGGCGGTAATGGGCATGACATGAATTAATAAAACATTCTAATATTATTTAACTCTTTTCATTACTTCTCTAAAATAAGCAACATTTAAAATGGACAAAATAGTCATCAAAATAATTATGCTCATGACAATAATTCAGAGAAAGCCAAGTGTAATTGCGACTGATTATTATAAATGGATTAAACCGCAATCAAATGAAAGAAGGCTGGAGGTAATAATGATGCTATGTGATGTTCTGTTCACCAGGTCTCTTTGGCTCCGTTTCATTCAGACATGAAGATTTATTGTCTGTGTATAACATAAGGCGAAAGACCAACATATCCGTTTCAGTAGAGATTCTGTCCCAAGGAACATAGTAGTATTTCTTCTAAAAGAAATGTATTTCCCCATCAGTCCACATTTTGTCCTTCTTTAAGCCTTTGAAAGGCAGCAGCAGCTTCTTCTCTAGCTTTGTAACCATGTAGTTCTGTCCGAAGCTCTCCGGGTTTTGGTGGGATTTCTGGTATACTCTGAAACACAAAACAAAAACCGAGCAATCTTGGTCTGAGTGCCACACTTACAGTTATAGTCAAAATGAATGTTGGTATTATATGATGGAAACGTTTTCAGACATATTCTGGGAACCTCTTGTGTTTTGTAACATCAGTGTATTTCACAAAATTGTTAGCTGATTGCTAAAATTGTGTCTTCAGACATTAGAGTGCGTGCGTGTGTTTGAGCTTGTGTGTGGTGATGAGAAAAAAAAATGCACAGCATATTTTCACTTAAATTGCTTTTCAAATGTTATTTTTTTAAATTGTATGTTGTACAATCAATCCACATTGACAAATGACAGCTGGAATAAGTCAAATAAATATTATTTAAGAATTATTTTTGACATTCCTATTGATAAGATTGTTTCTAAACTTCTTATCAGAAAGTTTCAAATGAAAGAAAAAGAAAAAAAAAATAGAGCTTATACAGTGACAATGGATTCAAGCTACTTCTTACCAGATCAGGAAGGTAGTACTGATGGACGACCTGTGCTCCTGCAAACATGGCCAGAACACTGGCTCCCAACATCCGGATGTACCGGGGCCACGACACACCAGCTGGCATCTGTTACGGAGTGATAGCCTGTAGGAGAGATGATTGCTCAAATTAATAGTGAAAAAAAACCATAATAAACACTTTCTGCCGTCTGTTGATGCCAAGCTTAGTTTGCCACATTTTTCTGATCTCTTTTTACCCTTGAGATCCTCCAAAAGTTCCAGAGAAGGGTTTTGTTTTAGTACCCAGCATACAAAAAAAGTCACAGTGCAATGTCATGTTATTTTCTTATGATTGCTCTTAGAGGACACTGTTTATTACATTTGACTGAATGCAGAAAAATGTGTTCCCATACCTTGATAACCCCATCATCAGTGTGGGGATGGTGAGTTCAGCTCTTCCACATGACATATTTCAATTTATCAGTAATTTTTTTTTTTTTACATACTAATTTTATTTTTATTTTGTCTTTTCTGTAGTACTCTATACTTGGTTTTTAAACTGCAGTATGAACATTACCTGAAAAAGCCATATTCTAAAAATGTATCAATATTCCAGCTTAACAGTTGTTTTTTGTTTTGTTTTGTTTTGATAGTATCTATATCTAAAATGTTGGTTACATACATGTGGCGCAGGAAGAGAGGTTACGAAGTCCGAGTAAACCAATTTAAATTAGCCCTGACAAAAGAGCAGAATGCTAAGATATACTTAAAGGAACAGGAAGCGGTGCCTTTGCATTCTTACCTTATTTATTACATCAAAAAATAGGAGCTATGTAGAGTTTTTTCTAACCATCTTAAACTACAGTATCTGTCATTGAGACACAAGCAGCACACAGGTCATGTTTAGCTAACAATTAAACGATCTATGAGTGGTGACGTCTCACTCTGCATATATTTACGGATGACGCGGTCTCCCAGAGCACTTAGTCAAGTTGCCCCTGAAGTTTCCAGATTAAAAATAAAAGAAAATTTACCACACCGACGTGAAATCCATATATTAAAATATATTTCACCTAATGCTGTCCAGAAGCAAGAGGACAGAGATAAATTGTTCACCAAATGCACCGATTTAGATTGGGTTACTGGTTTAAACACAAAGTGATGATCTAGAAAAATATACAATCTATTCTTTCAACTTTCTTCTATGCTATTTATTTGCGTTGTTGTACTCATCGAAATCAACGTTTATCGCCGCCTAGCGACTTACCGCGGTCTTGGCTTTACAGTCAGTTGTATGTTTTTTTAATATTTTAATTACTAAATATTATATACCACTTTAATGGAACGTTTTGTACGTAAATGTAATTTCACAATTATTCAGAATATAAAGTATATTAACAAACACAGAATTCTACTCTTGAGGTATACATTATGAGCACTAGGTGGCGGAAGAACGTCAATTAAACCAGATAGAGAAGAAAATGTTGAGCATTTAAATGGTCTTTGTTTTGCGGCGGCTTCGTTTCCGTATGTTAACCTTAATCAGAAAATGTACGACAGGTATGTTCCTACACTCCAGTACGTATTTGGTTCGCTAATGTACAGCTCGGCCCACAGTTTCAATACACCTGTATATAATTCCTTATAGCTGTTAGCAATATTAGCCCTTTCCTCCCTTTAGTAACGATGATTCTTTGTGTGTTAATCGGAGGCATTATTTTGTAACCCGAAGTGTGTCGGTGAGTTTTAGCAGTAGTATAATATTACATTAAATGTACTGAAATAAGTCAACAGTTAATATGGAGGAAAAGCAGTTTACAGCATTGACGGTTCCCACGGATTATTTTCAGCAGTGGTGAGTTGATGTTGGAGCTGACCGACTGACTGGGGGAACTTCTCATCTTATCTCCCCTCACACACTCATTTTCATGCATGATGGAGAAAATGACAAGACAGGTGTTCAGGCTGTGCATTCAGGCTTCTTTTTGACTGGTCGCAACATAGCTGGTAATTACATTAACTAGTCAAAAATGATAAACTCATAAACGTGCTTTGAAAAGTTTGTTTCGTATTGATGGGCGAGTGGTTAAAGCTGTTAAAACTATCGCATGTAAAGCAGCACACTTGAGAGGAATTGACTTCTCATCCGATACGTAGATGGAAACAAACACACATAGGTATGCTCAAAACACGGAAGAAGAGATGCAGTGCCTTGCGAAATAAAAAAAAAAAAAGTGTAAACATCTGAAAAGTGCGGTGTGCATTTATATTCAGACCCCAACTCTTACCAGCCTCTGTAGAAAACGACATCTACACAGCATGATGCCGCCACCACCACCAGTGTTACCATGGCGATGGTCTGTTGAATGTGTTAAGTAGTAGTTTTCCTCTAAACATGGCATGTTCCATGTAGCTAGAGTCACAGAACGGTTGTATTTACACAGGGATCACACACACAGCTGGTCTCCATTTACTGATTGACTTTCATGAAGTAATTAGTCGGCACAATGTTTTATTTGGGCAGCATAAATGGGACAAAATGCTCACTATGCTACAGATTCTTTTATTTATTTGTATAATTAAAAAAGAAAAAGTGTTGAATATTTTTGTAAGGCACTGTATATTGCATTCTTCCTTAAATGAGCTGCACACAGTGGCAAATATAATCCACAAAGTGATGTACGTCAGTGCATGGTTGTTTGTAAGTATTGTGTCTTGTGGAACTGTGTGCATTTATTTTTTTCTCTCACTCACACTGTTTACCATTAGACATGACAGTTTTCCTTGCCATTCGTCCTATTCTGTGTGTGTGTTTGCTCTCCTCATTTATTATTATTATTATCTACCGTTTCTCTAGGTACCAGGCCAATCAGCAGCACCCTGAGGCCCAACACATGATGTCGTATCACAGCCTGGGCCATTACGCCGACGGCTACATGGAGGAGCCTGTCATGGCGGAGCTGTCTGTCCACAGGGAACCATCGGAACCCCAGGAGCCCTTTTACCACAGCTACCCTCCGGCCTCCGGTCATTACCAGGAGCAGATTGGCCAGCCGAGCTTCAGCGAGCATCCGCAGCATCTGCAGCATCTACAGCACCTGCAGCACCCGCAGCACCTACAGCCCCCGCAGCAGACTGAGCAACAGCACATGATCCAGCAGCAGGAACCTGACCTTCAACCTCACGCTCCTCCTCCAGGTAGACCGACTTCGTTCGAACATCCCGATGTTTGCCTCTTACTTAAACAAACCACAAGCGAAGCAGAAATGAGACATTGTGTGGTGTGTTTTTTTTTTTTTTTTTTTTTTTTTTTTTTTTTTTTTCCAGCCGTGACGCCGGTAAAGAAGAAAAGAGGCCGACCGGCTAAGCAGCAGGTGGCGGATAAGGAGGTGAAGGAGGAAATGGATGAAGCGGAAGCTGCCAAAAAGGCCAAACGGGTTCTGAACCGCTTCAACGGCATGAGCGTGGCTGAAGTTATGGCAAAGACGCTCCCTGACGTCCTAGCCTACAATCTTGACATTTTAATAGTGAGTTGTCTTTTTTTTTTTTCCAATGGATTCTGAAACAGTTGATTAGCAGTACCATAATATATATATATATATATATATATATATATATATATATATATATATATATTTTGCTGCTACAGTAACCCCTTTATGTTTCTTCTCAGATTGGAATCAACCCAGGACTATTATCAGCCTACAAAGGACGCCATTATCCGAACCCAGGGAACCATTTCTGTATGTTGAAGTTCTGTCTCAGTGCTGCCTACAAGCGGAACCCCATCGTGGGGCTGTTATTTGAAATGCTTACTTTACTGCCAAGGCTTTTCTGAAAGTGCAATGTGCATCCAGCCATCAACAACCTTAAATAAAACAAGAATAAAATTGTACAAAATAATCTCGTAATACTATACAGTGATCATGTCATTTAAACATCCACAAATAGCTGTTAAATACAGAAAATACCGACTAGAAGTAAATTTTTCCCGTTGTTCTGGCGCCCCTTCTGGGGTGGCGCCCCTATGCGTCGCATATAACGTGCACTCACTTTCTGCGCAACTGTTGCACTGTTTGTTTGTTTTTCAAGGTATCAGAGGAAAGGGGATTTAATAATAAATCACGAAATGTTCTAGAATTGTATGAACTTCCCTCCACTTCAGAACTACATGCTGCTCTGTTATAAAACAAAAACCTTAAATACATTAAAGTTTGTGTTTGTAATTTGACAAAATTTGGGAGGAAAAAATAAGGTTTTACTGGGAGTGAATATTTCCACATGGTTTATCCTCCAACACTTTTAAATCTGTTTTAGTTGCTCTAACAATTTTTTCTTTTATCAGCCTATTTGCAGATCTAGCGAACAAGAAATGTGTTTTGTTTTTCTGCAGGGAAATGTCTATTTCTGTCTGGTCTGACCGAACAGCAGCTCAACTACATGCACGACCAGAGCCTGCCTGAGAAATACAGCATCGGCTTCACCAACATGGTGGAGAGGACCACACCGGGCAGCAAGGACCTGTCCAGGTACAAACCACCTGACCATGTGATGTCATTTCAACTCCGAGGGGGAACTCTTAGATTGTGTTGATGTTGATGTTCCATCAAAACATCAACATAAGATGCTTACTTTAGAGAGAGAAAAGGAGTGGGGCGAGAACGCACCCATGGGGGACGCCAGTGCTGATGGGTCCTAGTTTAAAAAATAACATAATTTAGATGCCTCTTTTTATAAAAAAAAAAAATAAAATAAAAAATGTGTCTTGTTTTTTTCTGACATCGTTTTCTGTTTGCCAGTAAGGAAATCCGGGAGGGAGGTCGACAGCTGCTCGAAAAGCTACAGAAGTACAAGCCGCTAATCGCCGCTTTTAATGGCAAAGGTAAAAAGAAACAAACCTGTTGAAGCTATAAGATATCCTACGAATGCAGACACAGGCTGTCGCTGCGTCTCCGTTGCAAACGTGAGCAAAACTTTGTCAGTGTTCAGCTAATGTCGAAAAATACTCCGCAGTTGAAAGTGTTTCTGTTAAATCAGAAACACAATTAAAATCAATTCAAATCTCACGTGAATAAATTTGTTCATGTAATGAGTCGTTAAAAAACATGACTTATCATGACACCCTCATCCTTCCACTGACTTCCTGTTGATTTCTTCTTCGTGGTTTGCGCCTGTGTCAACATTTGGTTGACTTGTGTGATGCAAAAAAAATAGTTTCTGTTGCAGTTTTGTGAAATAATCAAATTTTGATGCAGCCAGAAAAAAATCACTTCATCCTAGCACTGAAACTTTTTATCAAAAACCAAGAGTTTTTTTTTTCAAAATTGCTGTGTTTCCATTAAGCGAAATGAATTTCGAAATGTCAAATTGCACAGTTATATGGTCAATGGAAACGCAGCTACTGTAAATCAGCAACAATTTTCTTCCACTTTTTTTTCAGGGATTTATGAAATATTTTGCAAAGAAATCTTTGGTGTAAAGGCCAAGAATCTGGAGTTTGGTCTGCAACCTTACAAAATCCCAGACACTGAAACGGTACGTGTCGAGCAGAACGCATTTTAATATGGAACCGTACTCCCAGTACCCTGCTGGATCTTCACGGCATTTATCCCCTGTACCCTCAGGTGTGCTTCCTGATGCCGTCGTCGAGCCCCCGCTGTGCCCAGTTCCCCCGCGCTCAAGACAAGGTGCATTTCTACATAAAGCTGAAGGAACTGCGTGACCAGATGAAAGGTCTGACGCCCAACGGGGAGGTGCTGGAGACGCGGTACTCTTTCGACCTGCAGCTGGCTAAAGGTACGTTGCGCCACGTCTTTGGGCACCGAAAGAAATGTAGCGTTTTGCAATTTATTTATTTTCTGATAAACTCTTAACTGGCGTGTTTGTGCTGCAGAGGACGCTAAAAGGATGGCAATCAAAGAAGAGCAAGTGGATCCAGAATATGAAAGCTGTAGTGGGCTTCATGATGGGGTGAGGCAGAGCAGCTGAGACAGAGGAGAGGAGGAACACAGGCCAACTACTGTAGCACTCAGGTATGGTGTAGCTGTAGGAAAAGACTGGTATTCTGAGCAAGTTTACCTTGTGTGATGGTGTGTGGTACAGACTTTAAATCACATCGATCACTGTAACCGTGTTAAATTTAACAAAATGTCACCAAAAAGTTTCATTTAGCACACATAATGCTATGCTAACCTAGCCTGGTCACTGCCTTCCTACACAATTCTCATCTCCCTTCACTGAATTTAAGACTTCCACAGAGTCCATGCCTCTAGGAAGAAATTGTACATTATCTCATTAAATTAGCTGTACTCCAATAATATATAATATATAATTGATGACTTCTGAATGACTTATAAGAAAACAAAAACATTACAGATTTATATGTGCATTGCGTAACTTTTTTTTTTTTTTTCCACAGAAGTAGTCCATATACACCAATTAGAAGACAGAATGGCACCGTCGGGGTTGTAAGCTCAAAAATATTTTTTCCCGGAACAAGTTGCAAGGTAAATCAGCCTAGAAACGAAAGAAGACTGTGCTGCACCCGTGGAACTGCCACCAAGAGACCTCAGCTATTTTTCTAACAGTCTGGTATCTGTTTTTATGGTATTTTTATCACTATTTATTGCATCATGTAAATTTGTTTCAAGTGAATTATTTTCTATTTTGATACAGTCGTATCTTATGATTTATCTGCTGTATACATGGATTATTGAGTTATGTCTGATTTGTAAGCACGGCTTTATTAAATCTCGTCTAAAGGTGACCTGCTCAGTGTGTGTTTTTAAATAGTTTCCTATGTTTAAGAAGACTCACTTACGGTGCTTAAAGAAATTCAAATACATTGGATTTCAAAGGGGGAAATTGATTGGGTAATGTTTAAAAACTAAAGGATGGTACATCATTTAATGTAATTTAAACGTATCAGCTTTAAGAGGGGTGAATTCAAAGACCTTGCAGTCCTCTTTGAGATCATTTCAAGATACCAGGGTCGTTTTTTTGGCCAGGTGAGTTCAGCAGAGATCTGTACTACAGCAATTTTAATGTTTTTGCAAAGGTTGTGATGTTGAAAGGGTTTTTTTTCTCTGTAGTGGAAAAAAAAACTTTTAAAATGCACTAAATACTATTTAAATAGAAAATATTTGACAATGCTGCAGATACAAGCCAACATGAAAATAAAACTAAGTATTTTTGATTTTGACAAATGTGGCGTCAAATTCGAATTTATTGACAGACTTATAGCAATACAAGACTGAAATTAAAGCTCCAAGTCAAAATTGTTTTTAAAAAATAAAGTCAAGGAAACTCTGTAAAGTCAGTTTTAAATCGTCGTGTCTTTTAAGTAAATGAACGTTTTACTATCGCTGCACTAAACGTGGCCCTTTAAATACTACTATCGGCCAATCGCAGACAATCTCGCGGTGTTTAAAAGTCGAGCGGCTCATACCAACTCCACAATAGGTGTAGTGTGGCTACGTTCTTTGGGATTTCTGGTGTTACTGAAATTTAAAAATATATAATTTGTAAACGGAATCAATTAAAATTTAAACAAACGATTTCCCTTTGCAAAAATATAACGTCATAATCATTTTGTTTTGAAAAGACCGAAAGCGGCGTTTTCCAATCCACCCCTCTGTGTATAACATGAGCTATTCCCGTGTCAAAGTTGGCCGGTTGGCTTGTCATGTCTTTGTTGCTTCACCAGCGCCGCCAGAAACTGTGAATTGAAGTGTGGATCTGATGGGAAACAAGCTGATATTGTCATAACAGAGAGCAAAAGTTTTAACCTGACCCTCACAAGGTATGTTGACTTCATTAAACAGTAATAAGAAACTGAATGTTTAGAGTTTCTTTCGGGTTTCTCAGTGGAGCGCAGCCATTCACCCATGCTAGGTTAATCGACCAGCTAGTTCTTGGCTAGCATTAGCTGTGTTTGTGGCACTGTTGGTAAACATTAATAAACAGTTGTGGTACATGCCATTACACTGAATATGAAACATGGTTTAATGTGAAGCTTGTTCAACTAATTGCTAATAGTATGCTCCAAACCTACGTAATAAAAGCTAAGCTGGAACCGTTTTCTATTTCATTAGTTATTGTGTTCGCTGAGTCTTTGGGGGGAAGAAAGCAGCTGCATCCCTTTGTTGTCAAGGAAACTACTCATTATAGAGTTTCATCAGTCAAAAAGCCGGTTGGCTGTACTGTAATGGTCCATCGCCATAGTTTGTTTGATGTTAATGTTTGTCTTTAATTTTCCTTGTTGGATGATATAAATGCTAGCACATGCATTCACTTTCATACCCTGTCCTACATTTGTGTGCTAAGCAACCTGATCAGCCAGCGGCTATGTTTCCTCAATATGCATGTTGATTTATTTGATAAAGTCCAAAGATCCTAAAGATGGAGGAAAAGCTGAATGGATCACTGCCTGTTGTCTCCCCGGAGTATCTTCATCAGTGGTGAGTCTTCCTCCTCACCAGTGTAGCCAGGAAGTATTTCGTGTGTGTGTGTGTGTGTGTGTGTGTGTGTGTGTGTGTGTGTGTATGTGTGTACGTGTACAAAACATCTCAATGGAAATGAACGCATGTGCATAGGCCTGTCACATTAAAACAATTAATCCCACGATAAATTAAAAGAAACTCAATAATTTTCATTTGCTTGATTTATCGTTTTTCTCTTTTCTTTGTCTTTTTAACCAAATTCTGAAAGATAAAAGTCTTCAGTGTGGCGCTTTGGTCTCAACTATCTCGGTTTGAAAGATAATTTTGTTTACAGAGACTTTATAATTCATTTTATTTCCTGTTTTGTTTATTTACTTTGGATATTTAAAATGTCTTCCAGTTCCAGTGTTTAAATAATCATGAGAATTTAAAGCTTATTGATCTTAGAGAAAGTGTTCTTACATTATTATGCCATTACCCTTAAAGTATCTGAAAACCATATCGAAACAATATTATGGTTTATCGCAATAACTTCTGGGACAATTTATTATCTGGCAGAATTTGTTATTGTGACAGGCTTACATGTGCACTTATTCACCCTTTTGCTTTTGTCTTACCACTATCATTATCATTCCATAGGACGCTGACCATGAATGATGATTAATAGTAGTACGAGTTGTAATATAATGTCGATCAATACCAGGAAAATAACGAACCTGGAATGATATTTTTTTGTCTTAAGACAAACGTGTATGAACTATTTCTTGACTGCTAGAAAATGTGTCGGTTTTATTTTTCTACGACTTTTTATGGAATTAGTGGCATTTAGTGAACAGTAAGTAGACAGAAATAAAGAAAGAGGAGAGAAGAAGAAGAAGAAAGTGAGGACATACAGGAAGTTGCCGGGACTGTGAATCGAACTCAGGACCATCACTGTGTTTAGAGCACGATCTCCATCAACTGAGCCACTCAGCGCACCAGCAAATACTTTAGTTAGGAAATATGTCAGCCGCTGCTTTACCTATAAACATTGGCATATTATTACGGTTCTGGCTCTGTATAATTAAACCAAATGAAATTTACATACAATTGAATGTCATCATTTTAAAAACTGACCACAAAAAGTAGATTATGACGGGACTTTTTCGACCCCTTCAGTCAAAATGACGGACAACTACAAAAATCTAGATCCTCCTTCTGGGATTTATAGTTTTTTACACCAGTGTCTTTGCTGCGTGTAGTTCAGTCCTTCATGACTGGCGGCCCAACATGTACTAGCATCACAAATACTAGCGTTACAATGGTCAAAAGTCTTCTTCACTCACCAAAGGGCGTTGCTGGCAGTATGGTCCGCTCACTGAACTAAACATCGGCTGCACTCATTGGTCATGGCTGATAAAGCAGAAGATTTGCCAGTTTTATTCACTTGACAATTTCTTTTAAATAGCTCCATTCACTGTACTGCGAGTTATATTTGCAAAAATAATAAAATGTTATGTTTTTATTAAAAATTGTTTCAGAAAGGTGGTATTTGACTTTGTGCTTATGAATACTAAATGTTAGACTGCAGAATTCTAAATGTATTCCTACAAGACTTATTGCTTTCATAATATTAGTTTATGCTGATGATTATGACACTAAAATGCTTGATATTGACAGTAATAACTGCATTTGATTAAACACATTCTCTTATGATCAGATTTTTTATTTTAAATTAATTTTTAATAAATAAAAAAAAGGCATTAATTGAATTAACAATATTAAAGTCTCTTTTATTCCACAGAACAGTCCGGGGCCTTATCCTTACAATCTTAAAATTCAATGTTTCATTGACATTGTTCTGCCACAGGGTTCGGTCCGCCCAGCAGTTCCAAGCCCTCCAGGCTCAGTACGCCAACTTCAACCCTCAGCATCAGTTCCACTACCCAGAGAATCCGACTGCAGAGGCGGCCAGGGCCCACATGGCCAACCCAGAGCCCACCATGGAGCAGACGGAACCTGCTGACCTGACTAAACGTACTGGGAAGATTTTTAAATAACATACGCAGTTTAGAGAGTCTTGTTCTGCGTTACCACAGAGAGGTCACTCAGTGTAGTAACTTTATTTGCTCTATGTGAATTATATAATGAGCTCAGCAGGTGCTAATGTTTGCTAATTGCTGCTGGCTAGTCTGAAGGAGCTGAGTGGAGGAGGGCTGCTCTGTGAGGCAGAAGCTTGAAAACTGCAGCTCAGAGGAGGAGCTTTGTCCTCGAAGGCGGAGCTAGGTCCACCCAGGCGTTTTGTACAGCTATATTGTTGCCATGGAGATTAAGGGATTTCTCAAACATGCATAAAAGAATCAAAGCAACACTCCAGGTTTGCTTTTGATGAGGGAATAACATTATAACATGATGTGAAGCTCAAAAAAGTTGATTTTATATAATACTGCTCCTTTAAAATGAAACATGGGAGGCTAATATTAAAGGAATTAAGTCTATCTAGAGATGTTGTCACACTAGTACGTTATCACAGTCTGAGGCAACAACAATCATGAAGTTCTAAAAGATAGTTTTTGTTGTACAACCTTTTGTCTTCTAGCTCCAACTAAAAAGAGAGGTAGACCAGCTCAACCCAAGGAACCAGGCGCGCCAAAGCCCCCCAAAATCCCCAAAGCCCCCAAAGCACCAAAACCCCCAAAGGTCCCCAAAGCACCAAAACCACCGAAGGACCCAAATGCACCAAAAGCTAAACCAGGTCCAAAACCCAAGAAGGCAGCTAAGGCTCAGGGTGAGGGCAAGCAGGAGAAGATCGACGAGAGCTTCAAGAAAGTGAAGAGGAAAGTGGACCGCTTCAAAGGGATGACGGAGGAGGAAGTCATGAAGAAGACATTGCCTGACCTGCTGGATTACAACCTGGACTATGTCATTGTAAGGTCCAGTTTTTACCTGACTCTCTGTTGGAAGGGATGTGTTCGGAGGGACTTCAGGGTTTTGGTAACTCGAGTGGCATCTTGTTTTGTTTGCAGATTGGTATAAACCCAGGACTGATGGCAGCTTTTATTGGCCGGTGGTTTCCAGGACCTGGAAATCATTTTTGTGAGTTCTGGTGCTATGGTTATTTTTAATTTGTGTCAAAGTAGCAACAATGTGCCTGTAGTGCCACCATAGTTTGAATACACATGATGATGTGCAGTTTAACCCTTTAAATCTTAAGTTTCAAATCTCAGCCTGGATATTTTTGCTTATTTTAATTGTACAAAGTTCTTTAAATGCTGTGTGAGTAAATATATTTGCCCATGTATCCATAACAACCGTAACTAGCAAGTTATTTTCGCAATTTGCCGTCTGTTAAAAGAGTGTTTCATCAGATTAATTTCACTTCCTGCTACGGCAGGGATGAAATTACCATAATAACCCAACATTGGCTGGAAAGCGCAACGTCTCCCATTTCAGAAACCTTTGGAATTTTTCAGGTAGCGCAACGTGTTGCGGAATTATGGTCCTGCAAATTTGGCTGGAGAAGATTTAAAGACATTTTCACATTGATCTTTTTAGGCATTTCCCAAACTTTCTAGTTCTTTGTAAGGCTAGGGAATACAGTGGCCGTTTTAGTTGAACTATTAACAAAATTTGTCATTAGGATCAAAATCTAAAAGTCAGGGCACCACCTGATTACCAGGAAATAATAGCCAAACGGTTTTCAGTCCCAGTTATTGCTTAGAAACGGCTGCAGTATGAGGTTTGTATTGAAAAGTTTTGGAAATTAGGCCAAATTAGTTGTAAGCTGCACATTTCAGACATGATGGTTTTGATATTTTAAGTATCTGTCAGCGTAAGCAAGGTTGATTCGACGTTTTTGTTTTTTTTGTTTTTGTTAATTTAGCATTAATCCGAGCCAACTAAGATGGATGAATTTGAGACTGAGACTGGATCAAATGTAGCTCCACCTACATTTTAGGTCATTCTCTTGTTGTTTTCAGAGAACCACTAACATTTCTTTACGTTCTAAACATGTTGTTGTTTTTTTTTCCCCAGGGAAATGCCTGTTTCTGTCTGGATTCACCGAGGAGCAACTCAACCACATGCACGACACGACGCTGCCGGTCAAATACAAAATGGGCTTCACCAATATGGTTTCCAGGGCAACCCCAGGGAGCAAAGACCTCTCAAGGTAGCCATGTAAACTGGTGAATAATAATAATTAAAAAGAAAAAGCTTAAGATCTCCAGTTCAGATTATGGTAAAATGCTGCATTTTATGTGATTTTTCTTTTTTTCCCCCCACCAGTAAAGAATTGCGAGAAGGAGGTAAAATTCTCGTGGAGAAGTTGAAGAAGTACAAACCGCTCATTGCTGTGTTCAATGGAAAATGTATGCTTCCCCCCACCACCATCAATTCAGTGATCTTCAGAGCAACACTGATTTGATACAATGCAACATTGCATTTCTTTTTCTTTTTTTCCAGGTATCTATGAAATGTTCTGCCGGGAACTGTTTGGCAAGAAACCACAAAAGCTGGAATTTGGTTTGCAGCCACACAAGATCCCAGAATGTGATGTGGTGAGAGCAGAAATCTGCCTTTACATTTACATCACTGTGATACATCAAATTTGTTAAAAAAAAAGAAAAAAAAAAGACAAACACGCTAAAGCTCCACAGAAATACCTGAAGAAACAACACCTGAGCATTCAGCAGTGACATTCATAAACTTCAATAGACTTTATTTCTGTACGTTTGTTGAGTGGCGTCTGTTTTTTCTTTCGTCACACGTTTCAGTTTTCACGTATCAGAATAAAGGAGGCTGAACACAATACATGCCACAGATTTTTGTTGGCAAAACAAATATTTAATTTTCCTTTTATTCCACAGTTGTACACGGCTTTGTGTTGGAGATCACATGAAATACAAAGAAAATTCTCTCAGGATTGTGTTTGTAACAGTCAATGGCATGTTGGAACAATTGGAGATGGAAAAGAAAAGAGTACATTTCTGCTGAAAAAACAAGGATATTTTTGAGCTTGAAGAGTTGAAAATTTGCTAAAAAAAAAAAAAAAAAAAAAAATTTTAAGATTAATCTCAGAAATTTTGGAGGAAAAAAGACATTTTCAACTTTTGAAACTCAAGAAATTTACCGTATTTTCTGCACTATAAGGCACACCTAAAAACCTTCAATTTCCTCAAAAGCCGACAATGAGCCTTATAATCCGGTGCGCCTTATATATGGACCAGTATTGAGCCACGACAGGTCTAGCAACTACGGTAAGCAGCGCCGACTTCATTTTCGCCCGTAGAAGTAGCGCGTGGTGCATGCTGGGATAGTTGTCAGAACGCTGGTTTGTTAATAAAGTTTGACCTATCTACCTACCGACCTGATAATCAGGACGTCTGCAGGTCTTGTAGCACCACGTTCTCCATGAACATGCTGTGCGCAAACGGAGAAGAGTGACCATCGTCCGGCCACGCCCCGGCCCAGTCGCGGAAGGCTCCCCTCGCCGACCGGAGTCGGACTGTTTTGTTGACATTCTTTATGTCAACAAAGTGGCTTTAGACATTCATCCGGGGTGCTTCAACTAGGGTTACCAAGGGACCAGCCCCTATACATTTAAAGCCGGCGGGGGGGCGGGGGAAGAGAGACAGAGACTGCGGCGGCAGCGTGTCGGTTGGTCTGTGTTACCGAGAAAGCAGTTGAGCACAATATCGCAACACCAACACCGTGAATGAAACAATGACTGGGGCAGCCTACTATATAAAGTATTCAGGGACCGTTTTATTATTACACATCCATGTTTGTAGAGTACGGAACAAATCGCGTCCCATATAGGTTCAATACAGGATGGTTCCGTATTGTAAGGGACGGGTGGCAACCCTAACTGTAGCGTCTATTCTATGCGCCTTATATATGAAAAAAGTTTTAAAATAGGCCGTTCCTTGAAGGTGCGCTTTATAGTGCGGAAAATACGGTACTTGTTTTTTCAAGAAATGCCTTGAGGTTTTTTGGCAGGAATTTTGTGTGTACAATGGTCCTAAGACGGCGTCGTGGTAAGAAAGAAAGAAAAGTTGCATGGCGGTGTGTAGTGTGGCTTACAGTGCCATCAGGAAGTTTGAAACCAAAATGAATAGGTAACTCCAAACTTAACATAGAGGAACTTTGTTTTCTTTTTTGTCAGAAGAAAAAAAACTAAAAGATGAATCACACCAGTGTTATTAAAATGTTTAGCGATTATAACAATCACCACAACCAGCTGGTAACATTTGTCAGACTTTTAAAAGCTATATTTGGTGTTACAACATTAATATTTTTTAATATCCCAACCTAAACTGTCTGATACGGTTTTGTTCTCACGTAGTTCCCAGACAAAATTTATTATTGCAAACTGCTAATAATGTGCTGAAAAGGTAAATGACGTCTCATCATCAGATCTGTCTCAGTAGTAAACAAAGATCACCTGCTGCTCACTGACATACCTCTACAGGCAGCTTAGCATTCATAAACTTCAGAGTCTCTTGTCCATGGATTGTCTGCCCCTCCAGGCCTTGTACCTGATGCCTTCCTCCAGCGCCCGCTGTGCCCAGTTTCCTCGTGCTCAGGACAAGGTTCACTTCTACATCAAGCTGCGGGAGCTCCGGGATCAGCTGAAGGGCATCCGGAAAGCTACCGAGATCGAGGAAGTCAACTACACATTCGATCTTCAGTTAGCTAAGGGTAGGCTTCATCATCAATATGCATATGTAAGCTAGATAAGCTGGAGTAAATGATTTAAACCGTTTTACACATTAATATTACAGCATGATAGTCTGTTTGATTGAGTTTCATTCAGCATCTTGTTGATTTTTATTTTTATTTTTTCTCTCCGAATGCCAACAGAGGATGCCAAGAGGTTAGCAATAAAAGAGGAGCAGTACGACCCGGGATATGAGGACGCCTACGGTGGCGCGTATGTGGAGAGAGGAGCTGAAGAAGGCCAGGCCAACAGCCAGACCAACGGTCACTGTACGCTCACGTCTACCGCAAACTCAGGTAACCGCCAGCAGATGGCTAAACCTGAAACGAATCCTAACAAGATACAAAATGGGATTTATTTGAAACATGAGCCACCAACGTGACATCTTGAATCATTTATCTATACTTAATTTGGGGCTCCCACTCAGCCTGTTTTCTCATGGCTTGAGGAAACAAGCTTAAATTAAGGAATTTAAGACTCCTTAAAAAGTCTTAAATTCACATACCTAAAATTAAGGCCTTGAAATGTCTTATGTTAATTTATTTAAAAAGTAAGTTGGCCTTAAATAAGTTAATCACAGGTCTTAAATTTTGCCGGGACATAACTATCTAATCTCATTCTATGTTTTCTGGGACTTTTCTGTCAGGTAAAAGTTTGAGTTGCACTCTGGCATTTTCATTGCGTTCTGTGACTCAAGACGATTGAGGCTACTTTAGCTGCTAAAATGTACCATCTAGCTAGCTAGCTTTTTTTGAGTCATACATGTAAATTTATCGCAGCGTGACTCAATGAATTTTATACATTTCTGTGGAGATATAGGTCTTAAATTCCATTCATAATGATCTTCATAGGGCCTTAAAATGTCTTAAATTCAAAGAAAGTTGAAAATCCTTTCAAGGGCCATGCTTTTGACACCGCTGACGTAATGCATTCAATGATTCTCCATCTGCATCTGTCCGTTTGTGGCCCGTCCTCAGAAGGAGCACAGGAGGCGACCACATCCCAATCAGAGGGTCAGCTGCCAGACGGACAGTGGATGACCCAGTCGTTTGCCGATGAGATTCCCAACATCGGCAGCGGACCAAACGCCAGCAGCGCGTGAGGAAGACGAGAAAAGTCTTCGTTACCTTCCAGAGACATTAGCTAACTCAGTCTCCAAACCGCAGTCGGTTAGGTTTTAGACGTTCCCCTTTTTTTTTTTTTTTTTTTAGCAAAGTGGAGTATAAACCCTTTTAGGATTTAACTGAAACTGCAGAATGATTTTTTTTTTCTGCACATTTTATTTTGTTGTTTTTTTATATTCGTGAGCCATTTTACATGTGTAAATCAGGGACATAACTGGCTGACTATGTATTTAAGCATTTGTTTTTAATCGCTGTACTGTTGAGGACTGCACTGAGCTGCAGGTGGAGTCAACATTTTAATCTACTGTTTCCAGTAGACGGACTGTTTCCAGGTTCTCTTTAAGCTCGACTTCTCTGGAGGGAAGGATCGAATCAGGATTACTGCTACACTCAAGGTGCTATGAACTGATACGATGCACAATACCCACTTGTTGAGACCACACATTAACGTCATCAGTCCTACAGCCGGACTGGCCTTTCAAAGTTACACAACCTATAATGGTTTTCATTAATCGTTTTTTTTTTGTCTTTTTTTTTTACTTTAGATGCTTTGGATTATGGTATGTTTATTAAATGTCACTGTCATTGGATTTTATGAAACATTTCTTGATTAAAATGTTATTCTACTGATTCATCACTCACTTTATGGGATTTCTGCACAATTTAACAGGATTTAAAATCAATGAAGTAGTCATTCGAAGTTATTAAAAGGTGTTTTTTTAAAATAAGGGAATAACAGAACATGATGTAATCGTCAAAAGTTGATTTTACATTATACTTTCCCTTTAAAGACACATTTCTCTTCCCTGCATCTTGCTATGGATAGTGTGGCACAGGCAGGACACTAAGGCACACAAAGCTGATCTCAGAACTACGTAATAATATCACGTCTTAAAAAAAACACACACATTTGCTAGTTTCAATAACAAATCAGGTCCAGTGATTTACAACTTTCTTTTTTCATGTGGACTAAATAGATAAATTCAAGAAAAAAATGGGGTTCAAGGACATATGACATTTATTTGATAAGAGAAAGACCATTAGAAATTATGAAGTTAAATAAAATAGTTTACATATACTTTTACAAATGGATACTTAACTTTTTTTACATTTTGACATGCTTTCTGTGTCCAATATCATCTTAACATTTTCTAGAGAATCTTGTCCTGATACAAAAACCAACAAAGGACCAAATTAACAACTGGACTAAAAGTAGTCTGGGTTTAGACTTTGTGTCTCCCTCTGCACGGTCCGAGCCAAAGGACTTGTTCTAATAATAAAGAGTAAAAGAAAAAGAGAGATGAGCAATCTGTCAAGTTCATGCTTTGCAATGCATAAATCTTTGAGACAAATCTTTTTGGGGTTATCGCTCCTGATTCTCCATGTACATTATGCCACATATGAAACACAATTAAAAAAAAAAAAAGCATACCCTCAAATCTACTTTACCTTTGGCGAGCGAGAGGCTGAGCTGTACAAGCCGGAGGGGCAGGGTCAGCATGTAAATGATGAGTTTTATTGGGAAGAAGTGAGTAAACCGAGACCACCGGCTGATTGGGTCGCGGTTATGCTGGCACACCTCACACAGCACTAACGTGGAAACACAATCAAAATGCAAACTTTATGGTCTACTTCAGGAGACATTTGAAATACATTATCTTCATTTTATTTCAGTCTGTGACCTCATGCTGCTCAGAGTAGTAGTTTGCATTCAAAGAGATATTAAATCTAACTTTATTTTAACCTTGCAAGCTACCGATGCAAACAATTAATCGATTTGTGACTGAATGTTGATTAACGGTTTAATAGATTAACTAATACCGTCGGCTTAGACCGTCTTATAGGGTTGTAGTTTGGCCGCCATCCAGCAGAGGGCGCCGTTAATCGTCCTCAAGCGGAACCAGTTATAGAAACAAAGATGGCGGCGATACTAGAACGGGAAAGAGAAACGGTCCAGAGTCTGGTGTGAGATACAAGATGCATTTTATGCGGTTCTGTTTTGAAATATAAAAACTTGATGAGCTCCTTCAGTTATCAACTCCGTAGCGCTCGTTCAGCCGAGCTACATGACGGAGCAGTGTCGACTTCTCAACCAAAAACTAATGATTTGTTATGAAGCCGGAGGGCCGAACAGAAAAACTACCATGATATAAAAAGACATTATGGCAATAAGAAGGGTTGAGTTTGAGGGCTGCATAAGTTTAATAATGAGAGGAAACCCCAATTTTTCCGTTTACCCAGTCAGTACTTAACATAGCTGACACACAAAACATTTAATATCAAATAGAATGATATGCTTCTTTTTTAAATTCAGCAAATGAAAAATACAACCCCTCATGTTATGGAAAGACGGCCAGCCTTATTGACAAGAAAAAAAACTGGAGTTTTTGTGGCCACTTGTCAATTAATTGTTAGTCGATCGATAGGAGTAATCAAGCAGGTGTATTTAGACAAACTGATGAGTCGATAACTTGCATCCCTACTGCTGTCAGGACATGTAGTGTTTGTTTCCACTCTGACCTTCCTGGATGCTGGCGGGGGGGCTGTGGGTGACTTTGTGGCTGAGCAGCATCTTCCTCAGCCTGGCCTCTTCTGCATTAGCCCGCTCTTTTCCACGCTCACGACAAGGAGGTGTGGTCCAGCCTTTCCCAAGCGATAAACTCCGAGGGACGTGCTTCTCACTGAGCAGATCTAAATTCAGAAATTCTTGACTGGCGATGTACTTAGGCCTGACTTTGCAGACGGCAATAAAAATAAAGGTTTCAAAGACCTGCTGTGAGTGAGGATGGAAGTGGGAATGCTCACCCCGTTCTTTCAAGAAACGAAGAGCGTCCGTGTAGCCATTGTGGCAGATCTCGGCTAACTTCTGATTGAGACAAAAACACAAAGAAGAACTGGAGGTTTTCTCTGTTCCACCTGTTCATTGTTAAACTTCAAGAATAAAATCAGGATTAAGAAACAGAATACTCAGATTTGAACACAAAGCCGGGTCTTTATAAAAACAAATATTTCCACCACATTGTTTACAAAAATATTATCGTGCAACACTGAATCTGTTTTCGAAAAGTTTTTTTTTTTATTTACATGATGTCATGATGAATGCAGACATATCCACCCCAGTGTTGTTTGAAACCCACAGGGGGCAGTGTAGCGCAGAGCTAAAACCTGTGTCGGCCAATCAGAATCCTGTTGGGAATCAAACATGGCGCCAGGAAGTTTATTTGCATGGAACTGATGTAAAGATTGAACCGCTTTTAAATTGCGTATTAGAATATAAAGTTAGTAAAATACAAGATGATATTGATTGGGAATCATGTCAAAGGAAGTACGTGGGAAAATTATTTATCGCAATATGTAATGCATGGGAATGTAAATCTGTTTCCCCATGGAATTTTCTCAACAATTGTTTCAGTTTTTGTAAATAATCGCTTTTTTAGTGACGTCGAGTTGAGTTTTCATGTGGACGAAAGGCCAAAGCGCATAAAAACGTATTCGATTTTCCCCCAGATGTCCGTCTACGTCTGGACTGGGCCTAAAAATCACATTTCTCCATTTCCACTCACCTCCAGAGTCGGAGGGAGGAACGACGTACACACACGGTAGACGTTGCCGGTGTTAACCTGAATGCTCACGTTGCCGTAGTGGACCTCAAAAAAGTTGAAGGTCCCCTCCCTGGGGCAGATGTCGCTCTCGCCCGAGAAGGGGGCCATGGTGATGGTGTTTCTGTGCTCAAACAGGGGCATGTTGTTGCTCAGAGCTCCATCCACATAGAGCTGAGGAAGCAGAGGTCACTGTGAATCTAGATGACCAGGTACAAAACATGAAGTCCTGTGCCTAAGTGCCTGATTTTACACACCTGTTGGCATGTAGCTGATTTGAAAATCCCTGAATTCAAGGATTTGGAGGGATTGATAGTTTTGTTAATATGGTGTATAACATTAATAATATTAGTGGTAGATGGTAATCACCACACACTGCAAAAATACAAAATCTTAAGTTTTTTTTTTGTCTAGTTGCTGGTGGAAGTATCTTGATACAATTTGAATAAGACAAACCTAATTTACAAGTCAATTTTCAGCAATATATGAGATTATTTTAAGTAAGCAATTCCTTAATATTAATACAAAAAAACACTTAAACCAAGATACTTTTTCATGGTAAGTCCCAATAGAACAAGTACTTTTTAATATATATATACTGAGTAATTAGGAGCCTAAATAATCTCCTATATCTTGCCGAAACATCACTTGTAAGTTAGTTTATTTCAGGTGTGCCAAGATATTTGCATTAGAAACTAGACAAAAAAAAACCTTACCTGTTAAGATTTTGTGTTTTTGCAGTGCAGAAACACAAAACCAGTCCTGTTGATGGTTTCTAGAATTTTCTCATCCACGACCTCCAAACTGCTGCCAGTAAAACCAGCTTCCAAAAAGTGGATCTTCTCCCTGTTTTTGTATCTTAACTGTAAAATTCCGGTAAATGCTCGTGTTTAAACTATTTTGTTTTTGTTTCAAAATTAATTTTCCAAGTTGAATTTCTCCTCTTTGTTGCTGATTTGTTTATGAAATGTTTTTTTGGCTTGAAACACTGACACAGCTGCTGAGTTAAGCTAACTAGAGCTTATCCCACATGTGAAAACGATGCAGAGGGAACAAACTCACCACTCCGTGGTATGATGGTGGTTTAAAGCCACAGTAGATGGGAAAAAAACAGCTGCACATGAGAACCTGTGAGGAGAAGCACAATCACTGCAGCTCCCTAAAACTAAATATCTATTGTTGCAGTACTTTGTGAGTTATTGGTTTGATCTACTCTTGTTTAACCGTCCGTCATAGAACGACCTGATCCTCAGTTCCGACCTGAATCAGTTCCTCTCTGGTGTCAAACTTTGACACCAGCACATTTTGTCCGTCCGCCAGTCTGGTGAGGGACACGCAGAGCCTCCCTGACGCCCGCAGGTGGGCGTCCTGTGGAAGCTTCTCCAGCAGAGAGTGTCGCACCGTCTGCAGCATCCTGAAGGTCGGGTGGAAAACTCCCAGAGTGTGTTTTCTGGCTTCCTTTGCCATGTTTAAAATGCTGAAACACAGCTGCTCTGAGGAGGGAGAGAGGTTGAGACTTCATAAATTACAGTAAAGCTGAGGTATGCAACTCTAATACATTTTTTTTTTTTTTTTTTTTACATATATTTTAAAACTGGGATGGTATAAGACAGATGATGTGTGTGTGGTGGGGGGAAACCAAGTTACTCTGCCTTCTCCCAGATCTACTCAAAAACAACCAATGAGAGCCGGGGCGAGGGTCTTGGCGCCGTCAATCACTCTAGTGTACTGCTCAAACCCTCCCTGTTTCTCTCTGCCACACTGCAGCTGGTTCACCACAACATAGCCTGTCATAAATGCTAATGCTAGTCAGCATGTCCACCAATGATAAACGGTTTTCATGTATTGACAGGTTGTTTCTCTGTCACTAGCACATTTAGCAGCGCCAAGAAGAGGTTGACTGACAGCGATAAGACCCTCCTCCTGACTCTGATTGGTTGTTTCTGACCGGAGATGTGCATTAGTAGGGAGAAGGTGGAGGAGCTGGACATTTTCACAGATTGTCTGTCTGATATTATGTCTTTATTATGTAATGACATGATGGCAGTTTTAACAAGTATATAAAAAAGTATCAGTCTTGTTTTCAAAATAAATTTTGTGATGTAATAAATCTTTAACCAACCCACTGACTGGGCCTACTGTTGTGAATGCTGTGTTTTGCTTTGATTCACTTCCGTTATCTCTGAATATGATGTGACCTATGGAATTTGCCCTCACATTTCCCCGTGGGCTCAGAGCTGCGTACAGCATTAATAACACTTGATTTAAGATAACGCAGAACTGGAAAAGTATCTGAAAGTCTTTACTTTAGATCTGAATGATGGCATCGTGTGAAATTTTCTGAAACACCACAGTTGGATTATTTGAAAAGAAGTTGATTTCTAATGAACTCGTATTCATACTTTCATGTATTTGAGCAGCCTGGCTCTATGGAGGACTCACCAATGGGAATCCCCACAGCCAGGGCTGCTGCCACCAGACAACCGGAGGAGGCCCCCCCAAACATAGCGGCTCCGTGCAGCAGCTGAGGGACCTGCTCCAGGATGCAGCTCAAAGCGCCGACGTAGTAGATGCTCCTAAATCCACAGCCTGCGAAAGAGATGTTCCACTCCGAGGACAGGTCCACCATTCTCCCTCCGTCTCCCATTCAGCAGAACTCAAACCATTTTTATCTCCCGATCCTTTGCAGGGATCCCCACGCTGCAGCTGAAGAAACGTGTTATCTTGAAGGGGCGGGGCTTAGCAGGATCAAATGTTACAAAACAGGAAAAAGTACGACCCACTCACTCACCTTCACACACACACACACACACACACTTTACTAGTGATCAAAACAACTGAATGACCTGCACTACTAAGCCCCATTTGAGCCCCAGCTGCTTTGCATAAGCAGACCTGGCTTATTAAATAAGAATATCCTGTGAAAGCCTGGGTGTTTTTCTAATATGTTTGAATGCTTATTAAAATATTAATTAAAAATATAAATAGTATGATGGAAACCGAAATATTTTTTTTATAACTTCCTTTAATGTGCAATAAAAGGAGCAGCACTGTACAAGGTGGCATTGAATTTAATGAAGAATAAGAATCAAGACTTATTAGTAGCTGCCTTATCCTAAATGACTCAGACTGTTATCAGTACTGGAATATTTCTAATAATATTTGATTTATTTCAACAATTGGTAGTATTGTGAAAAAATTGACTTTTTTTTAGATTTACATCATCTTATGTTATTCACTCTGAGGGTGATTGACAGCACTAAGACCCGCCTCCTGACTCTGATTGGTTGTTTCTATGTAAAGCGGGGAGTTAGATTTTTTTTCCCAGACTATCTCATACCAAACTGTCACAACATAGTTTCAACAAAAAATATATTTTTCTAAAAGTTATATAAAGAAAATCTTGAGGAGATTTTTTTTTTCTTCTGATTTTTTTTGGGGGACAAAATCATCATGTATCATAAAGTCACGTTACCACTTAAGTGCAAAATAAAAAAAAAACAAAACAAGAGTGAGTACGCTGCAGAGACAAAACTCTGCACCTTCAGGTTATTTGGGGTCTGACGTCTGCTCCGATCCAAAATTTCGGAGCAGACCCAGCACTCTGTCTAAGCCCCAGCCTCTCCCCTCAGCTGGAGGGGATTTCACGCCGGCTGCCCCTTCTGGACCCTCCGGGGAAAGATTCACTTTTTCTTCTCTGTCCCACAAGTGCAGGTTGGACGGAAGGCTTGAGCACCTGCACAGTCGTGGTCGCCTGAGGGGAAGAGAGAAGGAAAAAAACAAAACAAACAAAAAAAACACATCCAGAAACTCTTAATGATTTACCCAGCTGTACTTTGTCTTTACAGGGTTCACATTCGATCACTTAGATGCAACTCTCCAGTGCAAAAACGTTTCATTTGTGGAATACCCGACAGCGCCACGAGAAGGTCAAAGTTTTATTTATGGGAGTAGTAAATCTTATTTGTTCTTCAAAACACTGTTAAGAGCCTGATGACTTATGAGCAACTAAAGGTGAAAGAGACTTCATTCATGGCTCTGCCTACCTGGTTTTATATTCCAACTTTTCCTTCAAAGTTTGTTTTGTCGCATCCATGCCGAAGAGCCACCTCATGTCCCTGGGGACATCGGGAATCCAGCCCCTCACTCTGGAAGAAGCAGCCAACATGTCAGGGAATTATTCAGATATTTAGATTACAGTCAGAGTCTCTAATCTTCTGCTTGAATAAAAGTCAATATTTGTTTTAAATCTGCGTAAACATATGGAACCAACAAACTGCTGGGTTATTTCTTTATCCTCAAAGCTGGGTGTATTTTCTAGGTACAGAAGGCGAGTGAGTTTAAGCAATTGGGTCAAAATTCAGGGACAACCCCAAGCAGGGTTATGGGGGGCCATGGCCCCCTCCTGAAAAATGTACACTACACCTCTGGCTCCTTCAGAGAATCATGTTTAGGTTATAAAAAGGCATACAGAGTCATCGTCTTCAATTGTAGGATAAATGTAAAACACAAATCATTAATTTATACAATTAAAAATAAAATTTAAATTGTATGAATATAAATTAATTCATTTAAAAAATGTCAAGATTGTGACCCAGTTTGTTGGGTTAGAGAGATCATTCTTCACAGAATGCTACTTTAAAACATGCAAGAAAACAAAGCATGCAACCACCTTCATATTTCCTGAGATTGTCATGATTGGTGGTGGTAGTGGTGAGGAGAGAATGCTGAGACCCAGGTTATGGTGAAAAGATGATGATTTAATGAAGAAGTGGCTCAACATGGTCCAAGTCAGGCAGCACGGCAGGAACAATTAGCTCACAGCTAACAACCGGTAGCAACTGACAATGTGAACATGGAGCTTAGCAAACCAGGACTGTACAGTCCTACTGGAAAGCATAAGACCAGCTAAGACGTGACAGTAGACACATTAGACAAACTTAGACAAGGACCTGACGAGCAACACAGACAGCAGGTGGGTTTAAATACACACGGGGTAATTAAGGGAATGAGACACACCTGGGAAACAATCAACAGGGAAGACGCAGAGACAGACTCACAGGGAACAGGACTACACAGAAACTCAAAAATAAACACACAGAAACACGGATCGTAACAGAGATGAACATTTGTTAGCTAAGATAATGCAAACAGCTTTACTTTGTTTTCTTGACATTGTGATTTTAATTTTTTAGAAGCTTTATTTTCAGCTCTAGACTCTTGACAGTATTTACCGGGCAAGAAATGAATGCAGAAAGAAAGGAGGAAGACATCCAACAAAACATATATGTAGGTATACTCTATATTCCGATGTCACAGGGACGGAAAAAATAAAAATAAAAATAGTAGTTGCGTTGAAAGTTGCAGGGTGACGGATTGGGTGGTACCTCTGAGCCATGGAGCGGGCGGAGTCAAAGGGCAGATAAGACGTCACCTTCTTGGGCAGGTACTCAGTCATGTGAGTCAACAAGCCCCCAGCAGTGTGCGTCTCCCTGCAGGCTTTACATAAAACTGACACAAATACAAGGAAACACAGATGAGCTGAGTAGAACTGGGTCAGATTTAATGTTTCATTTCTTTTGCCCTTTCAAATCAAATAGGTTTCCTTTGTATTAAAGAAGTAAACGTTCCAGCAGCCATTACCCCTCTGAAGTTCAGCTGGCAGGTTCCGTATGAGTTTCGGATCGAGCCACGGGTGATCTCTCTTTACCGACTCTCCACCTCCGGGGGAGTCCTTCGCCTGGTCGCAGCAGACACACTCCATTGTGTCAGCCTGCAGACTCCTCAGGGGAGACTCGCTGCTGATCAGGTCTGAGGAAACGAAATGTTCACAAGCTGATCTCCACTTCACACTCCACCAACTGAGGAGTTCAATGCTCCTCTTCTGTGCACATAATTATTTTTGCAAGAAAACGAGAAACAGATCCTCACTGTTTTCTTGCAGGAAGCGAAGAGCGTCCATGTAGCCGTTCTGGCAGATTTCAGCCATTGCCTGCAAGTTGGAGGAACAGATTTGGATTGGAGAGCTTCTATTCTATGAAATACAGGACATTACAAGTTTATACAGTGAGTCCAGAAAGCATTAGCACTTCTTTTTGTGTGACATTATAAAAAAGTGACTACACTAGTCATAGAAATTTATAACATTTGCTCAAAAAAATTCCCTTTAAGTTTAATAGACACACAAAAGCATCCACAGACTTGACAGTCGTTAGCTAATGTTAGCATAAATGCCATCATTACTATGTTGGCTTATGTTAGCATTATAGCAAACAATAAATCAATCCATACAGTAAATCAATTTTAGTAAGTGAAAATTAGCTAGAAAGCTAATGTTAGCTTAAATGTCATCATTATTTTGGCTGGCTTCCATTCAGTAAGTCAACTTTAGGTTTCCAGTCAAAATTAGTGAGGAAACTAATGTTAGCTTAAATGCTATCATTATGTTACTCGGCGGGACAAATTGGCCAGTAGCCCAAACGGAGGGTGAGAGATTTATAAATTACTCAGTGTAGAACGATGATACATGTCCCGTGTTGCCATTCATAAAATCCAATTTAAATTTAATCCAACTGAACATTTCTGGGAAAAGTTAAAAATGGCTGCCTACCATCGTTGCCCAGCCAGCCTAAGTGAGGTTAAGAGGATCTGCAGAGAACAATCTGAGAAAATACCCCTAATACAAATGTGCTACCTTTTTACAGAAACACCATGAAAATTTAAGGCAGTGACTGCTCTCAAAGATCATTTTAGAATATATTAAGCCAACACTGTGAATATTTATTCTGCTCTGTTTAAATGTCAGCCAAAGTTCAATCCACTGCGTGTTTCCTGCAGGAGGAAGGAGCAGCTGTATCTCACCTCAGCCTCTGGGGGGAAGAAAGTGCTGGTGACCCTGTACAGGTTCTCCGAGTTGACCTGGATGCTGACGTTGTTGAAGCGCACCTCGTGGAAGGTGAGCGTGTTTGCTCGGGGGCAGAGGTCACTCTCGCCAGCGTACGGAGAGATGGTGATTGTTCTTCCCAGCTGACAGCGGGGCAGATTGTCGCTAACGGCACCATCCACATAATACTGAGAGGGATTAAAACTCACCCAGTAAGTGAACTTAATGTGACTGATGTATTTGTTTCAATAAAAGTCTGCATCACTGGCAATAATGGAATTAATCTGGTTCATTTGACAACATTTCTGCACTTTGTGTTTTTCAGGGTGGAATGATTATACAGCAAAAAAATGTTATTGATCTTGGGGGCATGGAGGACCTAGGCAGCTGCTTAACTCGCATATGCCTTGGGCCGGATTTGATCTCAGCTTCCAGGATTCATTCATAATGTAACATGAATCAAATCTAATAAGATGCAACGGTAGCTTTATGTTTAAGGAGTGTGACTAGTCAAGTGTTGCAGGCGGAGGTTTGGTAGTTTACTCACCACTCCGCGGTAAGTGGGCGGAACGACACCACAGTAGAGCGGCACAAAGCAGCTGCATATGAGGGCCTGGAAAGAACAAGATTTCAGTAGCTCAGAGACAATTTAACCCATAAAGAGTCGTGTCGTGTAAAGGATAGGTTAAAAAGTGGGAGACAAAACCACATCAAAATGCCTAAAGTACTTTTTCAATGTAATTCTGAGTCATGAAAACCAACTAGTCCTACGCTACCAGAGTCATCCATATATTTACCTGAATGAGTTCCTCTCTGCTGTCGAACTGGGACACCAGCAGGTTCCTCCCGTCAGAGACTCTGGTCAGGGACAAGCTGAGCTTCCTGGACACTCGGAGGTGAGCGTCCTCTGGGAGTTTCTCCAGCAGCGACTCCTGCACCAGCTGCAGTAGGTTGTAAGCCGGGTGCAGGGGCCCCAGTTTGTGCTTCCTGGCCTCTTTGGCCATGTACATCAAATCAGTGCAGCATTTATCTGCACACACATCAAAGTGCAGCAATCAGATGCTGCGCAATTTCTCACGCAGCAGCCACAAACTTTAGAATACAGGAGAAATATCGTAGGGTTGGGAAATTCAGGTGTAACAGCTGTAAAGTGGCAGGCAGTCAAGGCGTGTAGGTTGACACAAAAGTAAAAAAAAAAAGAAAAAGAAAAACAAAACTATTACTGTACATCAAAGACAAAATCACAACATAAAATACTGAAATGTTATCAAAAATAGCATAAATCTGATTATTTTAAAAATGGTACAAAATGTAAGACACGCAAACAAGAAAGATGTGCAAAAAACAGCAGAAATTCTATTTAAAATTAGAAACATTGTGCAAATGCTAACAGGGATGTGAACATCTATTGAGTTTGTTGGGAAGTGATAATTACAGTCCAGCAGAATATAATCATCACAGATAAAGAGCTGTGATGGTTCTAGATAAAGAGCTTTATCACTTTATCTGTCATAAAACTCCTTTGTGCACCATAGTGGAAAATTATTATAAGGTAATAATATATGTTAGTTGTACATATATTAAATAATGTAAATATATATGTTTATCCTAAACATATATATTTTGTATGTGTAGTCCAAATATTTTATTTGGACTACACATACACACACGCACACACACACACATACACACGCACACACACACACACCCACACACACACGCACACGCGAACACACCAGGTTGGAAATTGTTTTGCTGCAGACTGTCTATCCCCTGCTTTGGATTCCTGATCCCTGGTATAAAACTCATGTGTTGTCTCTGCCTTGGGAAGCTTTTCATTTGGCGCTTCTTCATTATTGACTGTCTTGTAAGCTCTCTATATTGTGCACAATATACAAATAAACCTGCAGTGATTTCATCTAACAGTGCTTGGAATTTTTTTGTTTTTCCACAACACTTAGGATCTAGCAGTCTGTTATGGAAGGAGCGTATTAGTATATTTTATGTGATATTTCAAAACTATGTAGCACAAAGTAGGAGGACGATGGATGTATTATGTATTATTTTATCTGAAAAGTTTGGCATGATTTTATGTTTATCTTCTTTCAGTCTGACAATAATACACAGGTCACACTTCATAGAGCTGGTCAGATATGGCAAACAATATCCTTTACAAGATAAATACAAAATGATATCTGGAGCAAAAAGAAAACGTAAACACTGAATGAATTTTCTAGTAGAGACAGATTCCCCCCAAAAATGACTTGTCGCCCTTACAAAAGGAGATTCTGCATGTTTCACTGCTTTATTTGTAAAACATTTTTGAAAACCAGAGAATCTGGTTCTGTTTATATTACAAGATGTTGTCAATTGGCTCCTCGTAAGTAAATGTAACTAAACAGAGATGAACTGAACTTTAGGCTACCATTCTAGTCGCCTTTGAGTCTAAAATATATTCTGCAAAACACAATAAATATGGCAAAAGGAAGTTTAAAATCCAAAATTATTCCTCCATTTGGCTTTCCAACAAGGTGATGATTTATAAATGCACTCTAAATATTTACAGAGAACGTGGTAAATGTCATAAAGTAGCTATAGACAGTTTGTAATAGTTTGGAAAATGAATTGAGATGAAAAATATTTTTGTCGCCATTAGAGATTCTCAGTAGTTCATCTTGGTGAATAAAATCCGCATAGAACTACGCAATTAACTAATAGATTGTATTTATTTTTTATTTTTATTTTATTTTTATTTTTTTTAGACTTTATCAATAAATGAACAGCAGAGAATCCCTACTCACCCAGGGGGATTCCCAGGGTGATAATGGCGGCCATCAGGGCTCCTGCAGAGGCTCCGTAGATTTTCGAGGCATCTCGAATAAAGCGAGGAAACCGTTCGAGGATACAGCTGATGACCCCGACGTAATAAATTCCCATAAACCCGCATCCTGCAAAGGAGATGCTCCACTCTTTATTCGGGTCAAACATTTTCTAAAAACGCTACCTTCCGACATAAACTCCAAATTACAACCGGGGGGTGTTAAAACCCAACCTAATGAAATGTTCAACCAGGTGTCAGCCTTTGGATTTCACCTGCAATCAGCATCCAAAGGTTGAAAGAGTAAGTCCCGCTTTGGGCACGTTCCTATTGGCTGAATAAAGTCACATGGTTTTTATTATTCGCTGTGTGCGGCGTCGGGATCGGGAAAGGCCTCGCTGCAGAAAGGGGGCACTCAGACTGAAGACATGAATCATTTGCTTTGGAAATGTGACACCAAAAAAACTCTGGGACGATATCATGAACCTTACTTACGATTTCCCCACAAACTCTTCTCAGTTTTGAAACTGTTATTCTTGGCTTTTCTGCTTTGGACAAGAAGAACTGTGATACTTTTTTGTTTTTGTCATCAACCTTTATACATAAAAGCAAGTTAAGCAAAAACAAACCTTTATTCTCTATTTTCATTAAAGCATTGAATATGTACAATCATCTCTATGTCTTCTAATAATCCAAAAGCCACGAAAACCGTAAATTTATTACGAAAATGTAATATCTTGTAATTCTCTCTAGATGATTTTCTTGTTGCTGTATGCATAAAATCCTCCCTGGCATATTTTATTTTTTATTTTGTTTATTGTATCAAACATTTATTGTGCAGAAGCAGCAAAAAGTGTTCAAGAAAAATGAACAGTTCAGAGAAGTCGACAAGTGATCATTATCCTAGACTTATTGAAATTGGTTTAGAAATTGGAAAAATTGATAATGAAAGTATCGAAAGATGGGTATTTGGAAGTGCAGATTGGGAAAAAAATAAAATAATAAGTGATAAAGAAATGCAAAAGGTTAATGTAGATTTGGATGTTGATAATGTACATTTTTCTATTTGTGAAGCCAGTTTAGGTGCTGTATGCGAAACAATCCAAAGGAAAGGAGGAAAATATAAGAAGAAAACTGTACCATGGTGGACAATGGAATGTGATGTTGTAATTAAATCTCGAAATAAAGTTTTTAGATTGTTAAAGAGAAATCAGAATTTTCAGAATTTTATTGAATATAAAAGTTTACAAGCTCTGGTTAAAAGAACTGTGAAAAATGAAAAAAAAAAAGCAAAATAAAAAAGGTTTATTGGGGAAACTTTTGTAATTCGGTTGGTAGGGAAACAAAAATGTCAAAAGTTTGGGGAATGATAAAACGAATGAATGGAATTAGAAGTGAATATGGATATCCAGTTTTAAAAGATGGAAATGTTATTGATGTGACTGAGGAGGAGAAGGCAAACATGTTGGTTAAAAAGTGTTAAAGTTCATAGTTGCAATAATTTCAGTGCAGAAGAAAAACGAAGAGTTTGTACAATTAATGAAAATGTTAATTTATAAGAAAATAAAAAGTGACCCAACTAGAGTCTACTTGGGTCACTTTAA